GAACCGTCCACGAAATGACATCTGCATGGTTACTGGGGCTGACCTGAAAACTGCCAGTAACCACACTCCAAAGAAGCCAAAAGAGAATATGCCATCATACAGCAGAAGGTAAAAAAGCTCCAGCGGTCCTTGCCAATCCAACTAAGGAATATTCCTGATCCCAAACTTGGAGATCGTGTTTTAATGCTGAGCAGACACCTGAGAGGTGCAACCAGCTCCAGCCAACTTCCTCGTCTTGGGTTGTGCCAATCTCCAGTGCATGAAAAGGAGGTGGAAAAGAAAACAAAAACTGAAAACCAATGACACAGAAACCAAGCTAATCATCAAAGGGGGGGGGGGGGGGAAATCCTTCCTGGCCTCTACAGGCAACCAGCAGAAGCCTTGAAACACAAGCTTAATTAATTAATTAAAAACAATATGAACATGGTGCAACAAGTCTTGTAAGCACATTGAAGGCATGCAGTATCATCCATACACTGTTATGCAACATGTTGATGACTGTAGCAAGGTCATCTTGAACCTAGTTCGGATCCTGGTGTCCAAGACTCTTTCAAAGGCCATCCCTGAACTCTGCTCCTGTGATGTCTAGAAATCATCTTCTAATTTCTAGCCTATATTTTTTTAATGAAGCCTATTTGATCTTACACTAGCGCTGTCCTTTAATTCAAATAGATTTCCCTCTTTAGCTGGTATCCCTTTCCTGTCCTCCGCATGAATTTAATGCTGAGTAGTCATTTTCCCCTTCAGCCTTTTCAGAGATGAAGACTCGGCATAACCACTAGAAAGGGGTCCTCCCCCAGGTGGCACATATCCTCCAGTTAATGCCCTTGTCCCGTCACACACCCTCTCACTCCTTCAGTGAATCACCCTCCTTCTGCACACTCACTGAGTATCGTTGTTACACAACAGGCGTTTATATCCTGCCTGTAACTTGTTCCAATAATTAAGATTCCCCATGGTCCAGCTCATAGCCTGGAGGCCTGATTTAAGCCCTGGAAAGCTTGTGTTTGGCCTGCCATGGTACCCTGGAGGAGCTATTCAGATGCTCACACTACCCTAAAAATCCGAGTCCTCATTATCTGAAGCCAGGTCCTGACCATCTTCACTGAGCTCTCAATTCAGCATGCCCTCTAACATGAAAATGCATCCCTGAAATAACTGGATCCTCCTGGTTCAGTTTTCCTTCCCTCCATCACCTACCCTGAGACACACAGCTGATTATCACATGGAGGCGGTGAGCCCAAATTGTCACAAATATCTGAAGTTTATGCCATATAAATTGAGTCTCTCTCATATAAATCACAGCTCTGAGTATCTGTAGATCTACTGTAAGCACACCTGCAGCAGTGGTGATTTTTCCCCATGTGCTCTATACCAGGATAGCTCTACTGCTGTATCTGGATGCATTGCTGACTGAATCTGATACGTGTGAAAGGAACAAGAAGCCTTGAACTCGTTCTGCCTGCTCTGCTGTTACGCTAGGAGCTGATTAATGCATGGTCATTGCTCAATGGTGTCTACATGCTTGA